CTCCCCTTCTAGCCCTTCCAAACAAGCTCAGGACAGATGGTGTTAAATGACTGCATTTTATATCCGTAACTCTTCCCCCCTCAGTACCTATCATTTTATTTTATTCTTTACAAAATAACATTCATGGCCTGAAAAATGGACGAATGTTGTAGTAGTGCCAGCGAATATCTATATAGTATGTACTGTGTGCTAGGCATTACTCTTATAGGACATGCATGATGTCCTTTGGGTAACGTAGTCCCTTTTTGACATAGTTTTCATAGTTAATGTAATTACTATCTATACTTGACAAGGCAGGAGTTCCCGAGACAAAAACATTTCCTCCCTTGCTGAACCCCTAATCCTGGCTCCAGATTCTGTTAGTCACCATTAGAGTATACCATCTTCCATACTGGGAACGCTTGGTAAGCCTCTCTCCAACTAGACAAGTTCACCTTTAATGGTACTGAATAAATTGGCTGGTCACTTTGGAAGCTCAGAATGTGTTTCTTTGTAACTGTAGTCATTGTGCAAGTCTCTGTTCTAGTGTTTGATCTTCTTGACTTTGGAGCCTCTCCAGCCTTACATGTCACATACTCGACCTCAATGTGTAATAGTTTACTTGGCTATAAGTTAGTTAAGAAACACTGAAGCCTTCTAACTTGCATGTATGTCCCTTCTATTCATAAAGACCTTGACCAAAAGATCTATTAAGTATAGTAAAGACGACTTCACCGTATAGAGGCCTAGGGTTTCACCCTGTATTATAAAAAGTGGTGCTGTGGTCAGCATAAAGGATCTTCACATTTGACTCTGCCCTTAGTTTTCATTGGCTTATCTTATCTTAGTCAGCTTGTCTTAGCTGACTGTAGTTTTCTCCTGAGAAAACTCTTTGTGGTAACCAGTCGCCTCTCATCTTCCCATCTTACAAGATGATAAAGCGTCTAAGCTACTTTATTAAAGGCTCTCACATTAGTCTCATTCATAAATCAAAAGGAAATAGATGTATTTCTGTCATCAGCTTATTGCTTATTATCTAAAGTCACCGTTCTTACTTGTTCAGTATTCCTGCCTTTGGACCATTTACACCAACCCTTACATTTGTATTTTGTTGTTAACATTTATTAACAACAAAACACTCACCACATAGACTGTGGGTATGACAGGACTTCAGGTCAAGCCTTGTGATAGCAACAGTCACATTCTCCCCTGGTGTCCACCTTCTTAGCACCTTTGATCCAAATTGCGTCTGTAGAAATGTGCATTCCTGTCTCTACTCTGCAGGCTGAGGGGGTGGATCTCACAGGATAAGATTATAAAACCCATTCCTAGGATATCTGTGTTTTCCCCTTTCAGCTGTCTTCATAAATAGTACTGAAAAAACTTAGACCATTTATGAAACTGCAGTTCATCTCATTTTGATATGTTTTAAATTCCTTATCCCTAGAAATGTAAATATCATGTAAAAAGTTTTTACTGGCTGGCTTCTAAGACCTCCAGACTGATAAATGAATCTTTGGGCATTCTGTGGGCCTTTGAGTTATAGATAGGTTCATAGAAATTTGTGAGCCTGTGTATAGAAATCCCTCCCCTTTCTATTTCTGTGTCTTCTGCTTTGTTATACTCCTCTATCCCACATTTAAGAGCACTGACTCTAACCACATACTTTTGCCAGAGGAAATTCACACCGTGGCTTTTATCAGGCAGAAGAGCGGAAGTGCCAGTAGCAGGGGTAGGGGATACAGCCTAGAGGTGAGGGCATGCTATTACACCTCACGGGGAAGCAATCGGCGAGCGCTCTAGCGGTTACTTCCTCATCACCTTACAGTGTTCTCACCCACCGGTGAGCCAGAAGAACAGTGGGAGTGGCGCTCCGCCCAGGCTTTATCAAAGGAAGTAAACCATCGAGAAATCACCTCTAATGCTTTCAACTTTTGAGGTGAACATTTAAAAAGTGCTGTGACAGATCCTTTAGAACGTGAGGCTTCCCTGATGCTGTCTGCATTGGCTACCTGCTCCCATACAGCACGGTGTATAGATCAGCATCAGGTCGCCAGTGATTTTCATTATTTGCCTATGTTCATGCTTCTTCTTTACTAATTCGTCATTTCTCCTTCCAAATGTCATGTGACACTCGACATTTTAGGTCATGAAGTATTTTTGAAACACTACAGCCAAAACCTTCTAATATGCACCTATGGATATGTTTGTTAGATACATTTACGGTCATAGGAGGTGTTTTTTTTTTTTTTTAAGTTTGTGTGTGTGTGTGTGTGTGTGTGTGTGTGTCCACACGTGTACAGGTGTCTGTAGAGCCCAGAAATGGGCATCGGATTCCTTGGAGCTGAGTTTCCACATGTGGCAGTAGCTACCAGACGGAGGTGATGGGAATCAAACTCCAGTCCTCTTCTAGATCAGCATGGGCTCTTAACTGATGAGCCATCTCTCTGTTCTTCTAGCAGTTTTTCATAATCATCTTCTATGATGGAAATTAAAAAAAAAATTTGTTAGGACAATCTTCATGCATCTTCAAAGAACACAGGCTTTGTTATGCCCTGAATAGCCTGGTGACTTAGTACAGGCTCTGCCTTTTGGCCAGCGTGGACAACATTGCCTGCCAAACCTCCACTTGGATGGTATGAAGAGAATTTGTTACTTTCAGAAGGTACTAAACGAAAGTTTCAGAACACAGAGACAGTAGCAGAAAGCCTGTTTAACTTTATGTTCCATTGAATATGGTATTTAAACACTACCAGGTCCTGTGTTTCATTCTCAGCTGTTTGTCACAAAGGTCCTTGAGTTATTTCATAAGTCCATTAAGGATGCATTTGCATGCCCTCCCAAGGGGTCTGATTGCAATATTTAATCAGGATTGACGTTAGTGACTCTGAATCCAAATGTGGGCTTGGCCACACATTGTAGCTTTTACCTTACATGGTTATAGAGGGGTCTGAAGAGTTCCAGAGGAAGGAGAGGAGTTTGGTAAGGGCTGGCTTAGGTTTGGCTGTAGGTGTTTTACCAAGTGCTATGGAAATTTAATTGTTGGCTACCACAGAGGTCATGGTGGAGCCCCTTTGTGAAGAGAGTGTGTGGGTAGAGAGATTTGTGTAGCTGAATGAGTGCTGCTGTGGGCCTCAGGGCTTGTTCCCATGAGGTGTATACTTTAGAACCTGATGAAGGTGCTAAATCAAACGTTTTTTTTTTTTAAATCTTGCCTGGGGTTGGGGGGTTTCTTTGGAAAAGTATGTAAAAATCATGAAGTAGTAAATTTGTTAAAATTTTCCTTAATTCATAGCAAGGTATAAGGATTGAAAATTTCCTATGAAACTGGACAGAGTTCACCTTTAACACCAGTATATGGGAGGCAGAGGCAGGGGGATCTCTGAGTTTGAGGCTGGTGCCTGCTCTATAGAGCAAGTTTAGAACAGCCGTGACTGCACAGAGAAACCCTGTCTGGAAAACAGTAAAAACAAAACAAAACACAATAACAAAAAGCCAAAACAAGTAGAAAGAATGAAAAATTTTCCCATGAATTAGTTTACTACCCTTTAATGTACTTAATTTTCTTGTGAGATTAGATTAACCCACGATATATATGTATTCCCAGTTCAAATTTACCTCAGCTTCTTATAATAATTAAGTCAGACATTGCTATTGAAATATAGGAGTGGGCAGAATAGGGAAAACAAAACTCTGCCCTTTTACTCTGTTGGGGAGGGAACCGACCAGACTGAATAGTTCATCCTTCTCTGTAGTAGCTAGAAAACCATGAAGTGCTTGTCTAAAAGCGTCAAACTGGGAAGCAGGTGGGATTCATTGAGGAGGTGCAAAGAATGAGAAAGATGATGCTGTTACCACGAGAGAGTTCGAGACCCAGAGAACAGCCCTCGGTATCATTCTCCTCTCCATTTCCATGTCACATGTAAATTTTTTTTCATGTTTTCCATGTTTATCTTCGTACAGAAAAACATATATTCGGTCAGCGCTTTAAATTTGTTTTTACCATTTCTAAGTGTGTAGTAGGTGTGTGCGCGTCTCTGTGTGCGTACAGGCATGACTGCCCGTCTCACACGCATATATGTGTACTGCATTGCACATGAAGAGGCCGGAAGGCAGCTTTGGAAAAGTTAGTCTTTCGTCCGTCATATAGGTCCTCGATCAAGTCACTAGGCTTGTCAGTAAGATCTTCTACCCACTGAGCCATCTTGGGACCCTAAGTCATCCCTTAGTGTAAGGCGACCTTCCCTTCTATTTTCTATCGTGTGTGTGTGTGTGTGTGTGTGTGTGTGTGTGTGTGTGTGTGCACATGTGAGCTCATGCGCACGAGTGCCTTCTCACACCTATCTGTGTGCTGCATTGCACATGAGGGCGTCCTATCCATGCAGGTGGGAGAGCCAGGAGTTAGTATTAGGTATCTCTCTCTATTGTGCTCTGCCCTAATTTTTTTTTGATACAGGGTCTCTTCCTGAACCATGCACTTACCAGTGGGTTGACTGGTCTCCCAGAGGGACTGTGATCCACCTGTTTCCACTCCCGACCCTTGCACACACGGGGTTACAGATGTGGGGTGCCATGTGTGGGTTTGAAGTTGGTGTCAGGACTCCCAACTTAGTGCTACCCATTGACCCATCTCTCTACCCCCTGTATACTGTCCTTTGCATCCAATAGATTGTCTAGAGGTTTTTTGTTTTTTGTTTTTTTGTTTTTGGTCAAAAGTTAGCTTTTAATTGTGTCACTCCCAATTCTCATTTCACTGTAGTTTGTTATTGGTGTGTCGACCCATCCCATCCTAGGCTAAATATTTTAGAAGGGTCATTTTTTTGTGTATTTGTTCATTTGTTTCTTTGCCTATCTATGCCCTAATCTACCATCTATCTATGGCAGATGCTAGTTTTGAACGAATGACTGCTGTGGTCTGTTTTGGCATTTGGTACGTTTGCTCTGGAGGTCAGGGCTATCCTGGAGCTGGTGGTTGGTTGACATCTGAATATACAATTGTATGGCCATTTTGTTTTCTACAGAGTTCCTCTGAAGGGGTCATGGTGAGGACAGGGTCACTGCAGCTCAGTAGCACATCAGTGGGAACTTCGTCTCTGAAAAGAACAAAGCGAAAAGCACCTGCCCCACCTTCAAAAACACCCCTGCATCAGAATGATGAAAATGGCCCTGCAGCTGATAACGGTATTCTCCCTAGAACAATCTATTGGCTTTGGTTTGTGTTTTCATAGTCAGTGACAACAGCATGAGACATAACTTGTCTTTTTAAAATTTAATTTATTATGTATTTTTTAAAATTTTAGACAGGTTCTCGCTATACAGCCTTGGCCATCCTAGAACTCCCCAATCAGCCCAGGCTGTTATCAGGCTCACAGAGATCTGTTTGCCTCTGCCCGAGTGCTGGGATTTAAGGGATGCCCTTGGAGCTAATATACACATACTACATATATGCATGCATACAGATATGTATTGCTAATGATACTAGATTTAAAAGAATCTATTTGTATCTGCTTTTGAAAACACCTATAACAAAAATGACAAAATGATACAGTTTCATTATCACAAAGGGCATGTGAACAGTGTGCAGATTTATCCAGAAAGAAACTGCCATCCGTGATTGACCACATAGGAATGGGGTTGGTGGTAGAACTTTTACTCATTTCACAACTGGATGGTAAAATGACCTAGTAAGTTTAGGCTCATCTTTCTTGGATAAGTTAAAAACAGAACATTCCGCAAGAGTTGTCATCAGTTGTTTGGCATCTTTCAGCCCCGACTTTGGAAGACGGGATGGCTCCAGACAGCATTTTGGAAGCAAACTCTCCTGAGGGCGTGTCCAGCCCAGGTATGACCGGTCACCCCACCCTGAAGTCGTGAAAGCAAGTAATATCTTGACAGTTGAGAATTTGAATTCTTTGGCCTCCTTTCCCAACATGTACTATGAGACAAATCCTTTGTTTCCTCCCCTGAGGATTAGACACTAGGATAGGAGGCTGGCAGAGGTCACAGTTTCAGTTCTGGGGTTGAACCCCAAGTGCTTTTTCTGTTTGCTCTCTTGTTTTTCCTTATGCATGCCTATTACACAGTTATCAGCCTCCTTCTAGGTAGGGACGCACCCCAGTACGTCTCAACACCATCTCAGATTTATCAGTAATGTTGCCAACATAAAATATATATGAATAGGAAGGTTTTAAAGTTTCGGCAAGATGGGCATGCTTTGTCCTGTATCTTTCTTGCTTTCCCTTTTCAGGGCTCTTCAGTGGGTAAATGTGAGCTAGCAGCACTGATTTCTCATTGTATCTGGATGTCTGCTTGCTTTGTTGTAACTCTCTTGTCTAAGTGCCATTTCTACAGACTCTCCTTCTTTGGCAGAGGGCTCTCCTGGCCCTGGGTTCCTAAGCCAGGAGCAGTGTACTATACCCAAACCGGCGGAGGAAACCTCGCTCTCTGAGGGCCCTGGAACTCCAGAGGCAGCTGTAGCATCCTTGACATGTACGTGCTTGGGCTCTAACTGGCTGGGGCTTTGGTATGTGCCATCCAGTAGAGATCAGATTGCTTGCTACCTCCTGTAAAACACTCACCAGTGAAGAAACATTTGCCCCTTTTCTTTGAAATCTTATCCAGGTTTGAAATGTGCTGTTTTCCTGAACCGTCTAAATAAGCTGAGCAAAGTGGGAGAGGAGTCAAGCAGTGGCTCTGGGGATCACTTCCACTTGTGCTTTGGCTTTCTACAGTTCCGAAGGCTTGCTTGCACTTTATTATTCTCAATGAGTATACAAGAGAATATTTACACACACTCATTACTGAAATCTCCCCCTCTACCAGCTGTATGTGGCTTATTTTCTCTTATGTTATTCTCAGATGCTTTTCCTCTTTTAAAAGTAGAATTATTTTCTTATAAGATAGCACAGTATTATAATTATATAATACTTGAGTCTTCTTATAAATTTACTCTTTTTTAATGACTAAAAACATAAGCTATTTATCATTTCAAACTTGGTAAAATTAGTTATACTGTCACATGCTCCTTGTGAGAATGCAAAATTGTTTGAGGACTTTGGCAAACAATTTGATGAGGAATTTTTTTGGAGGGGCTTCCCCCTGTTGGAGATTAGCCTCAGGCCTTGATGCTATAGCCTAACCCTTGGCAGGGTATTTTAAAATGAAATATATAAACTCATTTCCTATATGACTCAACAAACCTTGCCCATGGATATTTTTTCTAAGAAAAATGAAAGCCTGAGTCTACACAAACCCTGCAGTGTTATAGAATCCCTCAGGGTAATTGCCTCCAAAGGGGAAAATACCCAAATGTTTCCAAACTGTAAAATAGATAATGAAGTTGTAACTCATCCTTACATCACAGTACAGTGCTGACTTGAAAGAGTAGTTAGGATTGATTTAATAGAATTGTATTTTGCCAGAGGCATAGTATCTGTCAAACAGTTTTTGCACTTTGGTGATAACCAGGAAAAATGTGGCATCTGGAAACACGTTTAAATGTTCGGTTTCATAGCTTCATAAGTCAAAGGCTGCAAACAAGCACAGCCTGTGAAACATTAGTTGCATTTCATCTTCATGTGTTTCAATTTTGTTTAAATTCAGTAACATTTTTTTCTGAGTAACCTATTTTTTGTAAAGGGAGTAATCAATGTTACTAAACCCCCCCCCCCCTTTTTGAGACAAGGTCCGTGTAGCCAGGCTGGCTGCAACTTTCTGTATAAGCCAGGCTGATCAAAAACACATTGGAAGGTACCTGCCTCTGCCTGCTGAGCACTGGGATTAAAGGCATGTGCACCGCACCTGGCATTGATTTTGTATTGTTTCTATGTTTCTATTGTTTTGTGGGGTTTTTTTTTTGGAATGGGTATTGCTCATGTTAGCCTAAAATACTTAGAGAAGGTGTTCTCCTGTGTCGTGTTTGTATCTTCCTTTCTTCTTTTGTTTTATCTTTTTTTTTTTCGGTCTTTTTCCATACTTTATTTTTAGAGACAGGTTCTCTCTACATCACCCTGGCTGTCCGTTAACTCACTGTAGACCAGGCTGGTACTGAACTCACCAGAGATCTGCCTGTCTTTGTCTCCCAAGTGCTTGGATTAAAGGTGTGTGCCACCACACCTGGCTCATAGTATTTATTAAATGTCAGCAGTTAACACACTAACCTGTCTCAAACTAAAATTAAACATATGTTACAGTGTATGGTTGGTTTGGCCACTGTGGCAGTGCTAAATGACCTTACTGCCTTCTCTCGAGGTAAAGTTAAACTTCATTCAGATGCTACGATGTGAATGGAGATGTTTAATTTGTTTAAGCAGAAAATCCGGAGCCTTGTGTATACTTTAACTTCCACAGCTAATCTTGGCAAGAATTATGAGCACTTAGTTGCTGGAATCTCTCTCTCTCTCTCTCTTCTACTGTCATTGTTGTGGGTAGTAATAAATAATGATAAAAAGAAATTGTTGTGGAATGAAGTATTACCCAAAACTGTTGAAAAGAACTGCACACACTTATTTTTTAGTATGGGATGAAACTTAAGTATAAGTAGAGGGAGGAAGGCTTAAAGCATTGAGGATAATGTACTTGAGTTTAAATTAAGCTAACAAAAAGAGAAAAGGAAATGTGAGCGTGGACATCTGCCTGTGTGTTTAAGTTATACTTTCTGGCATATAGGAAAAAGTGTCACAGGAAGCTGCTTCGGTTAGGCATGGGGACTTGTGGCTATATTTGGAGCATTCAGAGTTTCAAGATTCTGAGGTTGGCCTTGGCAACACAACGAGACCTTAACAAGAAAGGAAAAGGGAAACAAAATAAGCAAACAAAAAACTTAAAACAACAGTAACTGGAACCGAGATTTGTAATCCCATTTTGTAATTTCACATACTCAGGAAGTTGAGGCAGGAGGATTGCAAGTCTAAGTCTTCCTGAGCTCCAGAACATTATTCAAGACCAATTTGGGAAATTTCTTGGGAAAAATACTATAAAGTGGCTGTGAACATGGATCAGTAGTAAATTGTTTCCCTAGCATGCATAAAGTCATAGGGTTAAGTATCACATCTAGGGAAAGAAAAAAAAAAAAACATGAGTGAGAATGAAAATTGATTTGCACTGGTTAATATTTATTCTCTTTTATTTAAAAAAATACATTAAGCAGTTAGATAAATAACTTAGTGTAGATTGCACATTAGAAACACCTAAAGAATCTTGACAGTTCTTAGCCCTGTCCTAGGATTCTACTTTCATACCAGAAGGTGTGAGCTTTAATATTTCCAAAGGAGACTCAGAAACCCTCAATTGCAGCAGTGCTGGTGTCTACTGAGACAGTCTACATACATACCAGTAGACAGTACAAAAATCTCATGTACTATTAGTTTGAATTTAAAGTTGCTAATTTGTTTAGTTCATATTATTATTACTTGACTATAAAGCTACCCAGTCAAAGCCATTCATTCCTAAATGCAATTTTGTGAAGTTTATAAGATTCACCTTCACTGAATAAAGCTCAGAGTGATAGAGCATGGTTCTAGAATGATAGGAGTGTGAGATGATCTGCTTATATTTGCACATGACCATTCACCATTAGAACTGCATTTCACTATTAATTTGTAACCACATTTTAAGAGTCTAAATAATTATTATTATAAAAACCTCCTCCTTGCTTGATTGCTTAGGATGAACAGGGCAGGTTAATATTTACGATTGTATTTGCATTTTTTTTAAGCTGGTGTAAGCTCTGATTATAGTCTTGAAGAGATAGATGAAAAGGAAGAACTGGGTGAGGCATCCAAAGATCAAGCTGAAAGTATTTCTGTGAAGTCGCCTGACGTTGCTTCAGTATCTACTGATATAAACACGGTGGAGAATGATCCTGATTCAGCCCTTGGCATCAGTGATGGAGAGGCCTCTCCAATCTCCAAGGGGAAAACTCAAGAAAGCAAAACCACAGAGGGACAGTAAGTAGTTTCTGTGATACACGTTGAGGTGGTGGCTTGTTTGCTTAATGCTCTTGTCCTGAGAGACAACAGCTTAGCTTAGCTATAATTGACTGTTTAAGTTCTGTCTTTCTTACTAAACTCGTGAAATGCTTGCTAATAATGTATCAAGCTGCATGTGATTGTACTCTGATGAAACCCAATTCAAGAGTTTCATTATCCTCATGTCAGGTCACCAGCACACATAGTTAATTTGTATGAGTCAAAAACAAGAGTGTGTTTGGTCATATATGTTGTCAGTGATCTGTTTGACTCGAATAAATCATTGGGTTTTCACTTTGTACAGAATACATCTGAGGATTTCCATTACCTGCATACTGGGGCCACTCTGTAAATTAGAAATAAATTAAGCCACCCACATTCTTATAGTCAGGTCTGAGAAGCAGGAAGCCCTGTCTAGCTGATGTAGGAATTTTGAAGGCTCCACTAGTCCACAAGCACTGTGTTTGAAATGCAATACTGTGCTTAAAGTGAACGCAAACAAGCAAAATAAGCTTCCTTCGTAAGAGGTTTACCTCATTTGCATGGGATTGTCTCCGAATTAAACTCTTCTGTAACCAGAAAAAAAAGTCTGTGAGGTCAATTCACATCCTGATTCATGTAGTTGACTCTGTCAGATTAAGACTAAGACGATCTGTTTCATTTCTTCTTCTCTTTAAGAGAAAAATAGCTCCTAATAACTAAGGAAGGACATTCATTTGGAAGACTGTCCATTTTACCAAGCCCCTTACTTCTCCTTTTGCAATAGAACCAGTATACTGAAGCTAATATTTCATAGCAGCATTTCCTCTGTTAAATTTTTCTTTGCTATCAAATTTGTAATACCTGGCCGAAAGGCTGATTATGTTAGACCATCTGTCTTTGAAAAAATATTGCCTGTGTTTTTTCATGATGTGTTTGAATACCCTCCACATATCACAGTGCCATGTCTTGCAGAGGGCCACATAATCCTGTTGTATGTGATAGAAGCAATGAAGACATGGTATCTGACAGTATAAAAGACTTGAAGATACTGCATCCAGACCAAGAGAGTGGTGAGTGTTAAAAACACTGATGTCTAGCTAGCCCTGTCACAGACTATGATGAACCAAGGACTGTTCTAAAACATGTTGAGTCACTTTTTTTAATATATTGACTCAGTGCATGCCTCTCATTTGAATATTGTGGGAACTGTTATTCTTAGATTCACTTCACTGGTGAGTAAGCTATGAAGACACTATCTCACAGCTAGTAAGCGGTGAACCAAAGATTTGAACATGGAAAAGTATAATCCCACAGTAGTCTTTTAGCTGTTGTGTCTGCTCCTATGGATGTTCTACTGTTTGAGTCTGCCTGACATAAGCCACAGGTCTTATAGTTGGGTCCTGTGTGCATCTGTCTGTTACCTGAGTTCCTCTCAGTTCCCTAGTGCATGTTTTTACTTCATACTCAAAATTGCCACACTTCAGATGAAACTTGCCTGCTTGATTTTCAAGCCATCTAATTATGCAACATCATTTGCCACTATTTCCCCATTCTTACATCCAAATTAAGGCAGTTTCTTCTTTTGCTTGTGATGTAATGGGTTCAGTTCTGCCAATTGGCGAAGGGTCATCCTGTCCTTGTAAAGCAAACTGCTTCCATCTATGTTGGCCCCTCAGTTTCTATCCACACACTTCACCTGTGTTAACTTTGTCAGTTGATTACTGCAAACCATGCACTTCAGTGTTCCTGACTTAACAGCCAAGTCACACGGCGTTGGGCCAGGGAACAGAATCAGTGACTTCCTGTGAAATCTTTATAGCACACAACAAAATACCAAGACACACAACATACCTGCATAGGATTGAGCTTCAGAATAGAATAATGTTCAGTAGAGAATTCAAGAAATGCATGATAATACATCTTAAGGGACAAGGAAGGAAGGCCTATAAATTCTTATGTTCCAGTCTGTGTCAAGTGAAAATTCTAATAGTCATAGAAAACAAACACGGGGCTATAAAATTCATATTTGGAAAGGAAATGGATAGTTCCAATTCTGTTGTTGATGATGGTAGTGATGGTGGTGGTGGTGGGTGTTTGCCCTGAATGTACTGCAGAATTTCAAACCTAATGTGACTGTGTTTCTATCCATTCCATTTCTTTACACTTTTAGTCCTCTTCCCTGATACTACATTAAAAGGTTCTACAACTTTTCTTGGGTCTGATATTTGTTATATATACTGTTATGGCAATAGTGCTGCTGTTGAAAACCACGATTTTATAACTATTTCATTTGAGAGTTAATTTACTTATTTTTTTTAAGTGGTAGGCTTTGTATGCAAGGCCTTGCACATAGAGGGCAGGCCTCTACCACTCTTGTGGATCCCAGTATTTAGAGCTCTTCCTTAAACTTGGCATGAAGACACACAGTTGTGATCTTAGTACTCAGAAGGCTGAGACACTAGCCCAGGTTAGATACTGACACCATCTAAAAATCAGCAAGTCATTTCTTTTTTAAAAAAAAAAAAAAATTAAGTCATATAAGTAAGATTTTGACGCTAGGTTAGTGCTAGGTTAGTTATAAGAATATCTCAGTAATGTTTTCTGTCATCTACATGTACTTTGTACTAACCCTTATTAAGTTGTAGGTGATTTTAAAAATTAATTTTTGTTATCCTTAAGATATTTTATTCTATTTTTTATAATGGCACCATCATTTTGTCCCATTATAGAAGTCAGTGTTAGTTTTGAATAGTGGGGAAAAAAGAAAGATTATGTAGAAACCACCTTCTCCCTATATTGTTATTTCTTTGACATGATACAGTCATTCATAGACATTTGGTAAACATCATCATTGGGTATGAATGAATGTGGGAAGCTCATTCATATACCTATACTCAGGGTTTAGTTGGTCTTCTTGACAGTCTTTGGGAATAGTTGTGAAATGTTGATGAGAAACAGAGTGATTAATAGGTCAATTCATGGAAAATGTGGGACCTGAAATTCAGAGTTTTAACACTGATGACTTAGAGTTGCTTATCAAGGATTTATAAAAATGTTTTTACAGTTAATTATTTTTCTCTTGGAAACAGCCTGTATTCTTTTTCTGTGCCTAGTACTTGCCTTTGTGTAATTAAGAAGCTGGGAATGGTATGTAGCACTCTAATATAACTTAGTTATAATAGGTGAGGCACATTGAATAATTTAATTCTCCATTTTAAAAGTATATGCTTAACAGTATTTTTTCTTTGTCTCTCAGCAGTTCAAAATGAAACCATGGTTGGTGCCACAAACACAGACTATGTGAAAAACAGACCGAGGAAAGCAGAAACCACCATAGAAGACAAAGCCCCAAAGATAGCCAAGGACATGGAAACTGATAGAGTGACAGTCTCTCCTGCATGTAGAATGGATAATGTTAAAAGTTCGATGGAAAATCATCTAACGGCATCAGCAGGACCAGATCAAAAATGGAATCAACCAAGTGTAGAAAAGGCAAAAATGCAGGATGCAGCAATTCAGGCCACCCCTGCCTGCAGTGGTTCTGATGGGAATCACGGAGACCGTAATTCATCTGACCTCAGGGTTGATGAGTCTGTGCAGACTTCAAATAGCAATAGATCAGCTCAGCACTCGTCTGCAAGTCTCCCAGATTCTGTAAATGCCTCGAGAGAATTCAGGAGTCAGGGCACCCCAACATACGTACATGATAGACTCCCCATGAAAGAGCTAGCGTGTACAAATGGGAATGATGACCCTTTGTCTCCTGTAGATGGAAGTGATAAGAATCCAACTGCTTCTCCCCTAAAGAATTTTCCACTTTACAGGCAGGACCACAATCCCAAGCCAAAGCCTTCAAATGAAATTACAAGAGAGTATATACCTAAAATTGGAATGACTACTTATAAAATAGTGCCTCCAAAGTCCCTGGAAGTGGTGAAAGATGGGGAATGGGAAACTGTGGGGAATAAAGAAGATCAAAAGATGCCTGCTGTAGAGCAGAAGCAGATGCTTGAGAATATGAAAGAAACAGCCAAGCAGACGGAAGCCCTTTTGACTTCCAGAGGCTCACAGGAGCCTCAGCCTGACCTTAAACCGAAGCCCAGCTTTGGAGCAGAGCATCTTTTGCACAGGACTGTGAGCTTACCCGCTGGTACTGAGATGAGCCCTCCCAAACCTCCCAGAATGACTACAGACACGGGCACCATTCCTTTTGCACCAAATTTGGAAGATATAAACAATATTTTGGAAGCAAAATTTAGATCCCGTGCTTCAAATCCCCAGGCCAAGCCAAGTTCGTTCTTTCTTCAGATGCAGAAGAGAGCTTCAGGCCACTATGTGACATCTGCAGCTGCTAAGAGTGTTCACACCGCCCCTGGGGCTACCCCCAAAGAACCAGCAATCAAAGAGGTGCAAAGGGACCCACGGCTTCCTCCAGAACAGTGTGTCTCTCCCCTGAATGAAAGGACTCACTCTGCTCCACTGCCCAATATTTCAAAAACTGTTGATAACACCCAGAAGCCTGCTGGGACAGCTTCTCCTCCTGTAGCTCCCAAACCTATGGCTGTTTTTGCTGAGACATCTCCACCTCCTGTATCTCCCAAGCCTATGGCTCTTCTTGCTGAGAAATCTCCTCCTCCTATATCTCCCAAGCCTATGGCTCTGTCTGCTGAGACATTTCCCCCTCCTGTAGCTCCCAAGCCTATAGCTCTGTCTCTGTCTGTTGAGACATCTCCTCCACCTGTAGCTCCCAAGCCTATAGCTCTTTCTGCTGAGACATCTCCTCCTCCTGTAGCTCCTAAGCCAATGGGTCTGTCCGCAGAGACATCTCCTCCTCCTGTAGCTCCCAAGCCTGTAGCTCTTCCTGCTGAGACATCTCTTCCCCCTGTAGCTCCCAAGCCTGTGGCTCTTGCTGGTGGTGGTCAGGGAACATCAGTAAACCTGAAGACCTTGAAAACGTTTGGGGCCCCACGACCGTATTCCAGTTCTGGCCCCTCCGCCTTTGCCCTTGCTGTGGTGAAGAGGTCACAGTCCTTCAGTAAGGCATGTCCAGAGTCATCCAGGGATGGCTCTTCTGCCCTGCCTCCCGCTAACACAGAGGATGAAAAGACCCACGCAGAGGTCTGCCAGCCTGATGACGTTGATAAGGTATGCCTTAACTTCTCCAGTATAATCAGATTCCACTACAAACTGGTTAAAGTAAGGGACAGCTCATTTCATTCTGATATTTTGGCATGGTTTCTGTATTGCTTAACTGTGAATTAGTATCTTTAGAAAGAAGACTGGTAATATTTAAGAACTTGAGTTTATACTATGAGAATTATCTTTCCTATAACCCAGATAGTGTTATAGTGCCATTGTTACGTAACTGTATCACCAGCAAATATTTTCACATTTATTCTTACACTTGTTAATTGCCACTGTAGAGCAGTGACTATTTTTCTGTGCTTTTCTAGTTTCATTAACTGTTCTGGATATTATGGTTTAGTTTCTCTGCCACTTAAATGGCATTATATAATTGCCAAATACATAGTTTTAATTATTGGAAACAAATGAAAACACATATTGAAGGGGCCAAAAAGTGTCTCAGTGTACATTTCCCAATTTGTGCATTCAATTTTGGTTCACCAAACATCTCACCTATAGCTTAATTTAAAATTTAAGTAGCTTTAATATAGTTTATTAAATTATCCATTTTAAATGGATATTTTAAAATGTCCATTATATGCTTGTAGACCAAAATATATCCAACTATAGTAATTTAGAAAAAATGCTATTGACCTGAATTGCCATCTAAGCAGCCTGCTTTCTGGATTCACATAAAATAGTCAAAGGAGATGACGAAACTCACAGTCTCGTTCATGGCATTCCGCAGGCAGTCTTTCAAAGCTACTTTGCGTATTTTACTCTGGTAGTGTTTAAAGAATACTTTGACATTTGTGTGACAGTTCCAGGAGTATTTTATACAGCTTTTTCAAACATTCCTAGACTAAGAGAACAGTGACTGTGGTGCCAAGTAAATTTTTTATATTGTTAAGGCAATATTTATCTTGAAGAATATTTCCTCACACGTTTGACATTTATGTTTATTAGTTTAATCTAGCATCAAGAAGAGAGCTGTGCTGCAGAGATGAATTCTTAACTTGGAGGAAGAGCCTGCATTTTCCCTGAAGTGGATCACCATTCCTAAATAATAGAAGCTTAGATACCGTTTTTGAGTCAGAGCCTCAGCCCTATTTAGTTCATTTAAAAAGTAAAGATACATATTTGACAGTTAGTAAAAGACATTTTAAAGATTGCTTGATATAATACTTTTCAGTTAAATCAATTACTATAGTTTTGTTTTTAAGAGGTTTAGTTAAATTTCTGATTAGTTTGGAAGTTCTTACCATTTGTTTTAAGCCTTAAGGGAAAAATAAAGAAAAACTGATCAACTCATAGTTCTCTTATTTTCTAGAAACAAACAAACAAAAAAAAAAAACAAACTCAGACAATTAAGAGACATCAATATTCTCTTGTTAACTCACATACTAGATTCAAAAGTATGAAACTGTCAGCCTTACACATTTGCGTGAATACGTTAGAACCATGAAAATGAATTGGTTTTTTTTTGTTGTTGTTGTTTGTTTTTTGTTTTTTCAGTGTGTGGAATATTTGATCATGATTTTTGGCTCTGGTAGCCAGTTCCATGTGTTTGCAATATTAGTTTCTTAAATTTGCACACAGTAAAATTGCCACTGTATTCATGAAGCAGAAAGAGCTAGCATTTTTCTTCTAGATTTACCTAAGCTGAGAAAGGAAGGGACATGTTTGATCTCCAAACTGGGCTCTACCAGCAGAGCTAACTAAGTGCAGGGTGAAGGTACAGAGCTGGGTCAAAGCATTAGCATGGCAAACAGTGGTTTTTAAAGAGACTTAATAATAAAAATGTTTTTAAAATAGGCCTGTCTTCTCTTGGAATTCATAAAAGCTTCTTGCATTTATTTTTTATAGCAAAGTAAACCTGTACAGAATGACCAGAGTTCTCAAATGCTGACTTCAGCTGATAGCCTTTCGCTCACCCTTAAGAGACAGAGTTCTTTAACATTGCCAAGCCCTGACCCAGAGCTTGTCCGGCAGAGCTTGCTGACCGCAATCCGTTCTGGAGAGGCTGCTGCCAAGCTGAAGAGAGTAAGTTTTACCCAGCAAATGGGTGACCGCAGATTTATTTTCAGCCTTGTAAAACTAATACTTGATCAGCAGATCTTTCTAACATTCAAATATGGACAGGAAAGATGCTGGACATTACACTTTTCTTCCAGGGCCCATTTTTGAGGTATAAACTGAAGGATTTCAGCGTCTTACATGCATACGAATACATGTCAAAATTTTTTTCCATTCTGCAGGCCAGGTGTAGAATATTACTGTATTCATTTTTGTATATGTAGAAAGCTAGCCTGGACTCTGATTTTAAGAAATTACGTTAGCACGGTAAGAAAGACTTGAACATCCCCCACACATACCTTTTTCCAAAATAGGGTGATTTTTACCAATGGGGCCATTTATGTTTTCAGTCATCTCTCAGTGGTCAAAGTAACTGCTGTATGTGGGTTTTAGGGACAGTTTTATAGCTTGAGTGGAAAAAAAGGTAGAGAAGATGCTAGAGCGTACAGAGGAGAACTCACCCAGAGCCCACGGTCATGGTGCCCACCACGTGATCCGGCTCATCCTTGCTGAGCTGTAGGAGAGCAGCGGAATAGAAGTCCGATTCCTCTGGACAGAACATGGGCGTCACAGGAAAGTCCCTCCTCCCTCTCCACCTCCATCTCCTGAGAGAGCATGGTCCGGCTGACCAGCCGTCGCCGTGAGAAGCACCTCAGCATGGAAGTTCTTATTCTGCTGACGCCATGGGTAGTTCATGTCATGAGCTCCTTTGATAATCACATTAGGAGCTTGTTGAAGAAAGGCCACAAGACTTGTTGAATAAAATGTAGAGTTCCACAGAAAGTACAGCTACTAGTGAATAGAAGTGATGGAAAATGGAAGTACAGAGCCAGTATCTTAGGTGTTCCCACCACATAAGCCTTTGTCATGCAGAACTGTCCAAGGCTTTTGCCTCTGTGTCTGTGTGTGTTTGTGTGTGTGTGCGTGTTGTTTGTTCACATGTGCATGTGAGACCAGTGAGGCAGAGCAAAGTTGGTAAGTAGTTTCCAAAATTACAGAAACATGCTTGAAGGAATAATTCAGAAGACAGATCTAAATTTGTAGGTTATACACAGGCACCAAGGCTGCAGAAAAAGTTCATGTATACTTAAGTACTGAAATTAGTATTTTGCCAGTTCTCACAAATTTCTTTGTCAATGGGAGAATATACCAATATAAATAAATATCACATTCTTGTTCATGAAATGATTTTCTGTTCTTCACCAGGAAGTTAAAGATGTTTCACCCAATTGCCATCAATCTAATATTCCTCAATTCAATAAATTTGAGGCACAAATATTTTACTAGACACACAGGGCAGAGAGGTGGCTAAACCAACTGCGGCCACCTCTGGAGCCTGGGCCTGAAAAGCAGCATTGCCTTTGGTCCACAGGAGAGCCCAGTTCTGACACAGGAATTGCGTGCAATGCCTTAGGAGCAGACAAGTGCACATCCTAACCAGTTTCAGCGTAGCTGCTGCACAGTACTGTACATTGAACTGCAAGTGTATTTAAGGCCAGCAGCTGGGTACTGGTGGATTCCTGGGCCTGATTTGGCAGGGCTTTCACATGGGAAATTCTTCAGCTTCGAGATAGCTGGATCTGAACCAACTGAAAGGAGACCTAAATGATGTGCCTATAATTGCATCCTATTTAAAACTCATTACTTTAGATTCTATTGAGGATAAAACTCTATCTCATTGAGTAGGAGGTTATTAACAGCTCAGAGCCTGTAGAGTGCCAACTCCTAAGTTTCTTAATGAACATTTCAGACAGAATCTGTTTCATTTCTGTTTCATTTCTCTGAAAATAGTTAAAAGAAGTAGTCTCTAAACTCGGCGACCAGCATTTCCGCTGTAGTGTATACTCTTAAAAATTACTTTTGCAAACCAATACTTACGTATAACAGTGCTCATGCCATACCTGTTGAAAAGTTCCAAATAAATGTTAGGCTAATTCTAGAAATAACAAACAATAGTGTTGTTGAAGAATAGATTATCTTACTGGAACCTTTTTTTATGTTCTTTGATATTTCCATTCATGTATACGATGTATGTTGATCTTGTTTATCCACAACTACTACCCTTTCACTCCTCTGACTGTTCCTCCATCTGCCTCCTTCCTTTAGAAAGCTTTTGCTTAGTTCTTTGAGACTTTCATTCAAGGTGTTTTAATCATATTCATCCCTTGCCCTATATATGCTTCTCATTCTTTTCTCACCCTATTCTGTGTCTTGGGTTTTTTTGTTGTTAATAAGTCCAATTTATGCTCCCCATGTATTCTTGGGTATTTGGCTACCTACAGAAGTGTGGTTAACCTACCACAGAGTCACACCTTTAAAACTGACTTTCTGTTTGCCAGAAGCCATCAGTTGTCCATAGCACCTCAGCTGAAGGTGGGGCCTTGTGTAACTGATCTGTTGTGTCCAGAAAGCATTGTTTTCTTGTAGTCATCCACTATTCCAGACTCAGTCTCTCGGCGTCCTCTTCCCAAAAGTCACTGAGCCTTGGGAGGAGGAGTTGTGATATGGCTGTCCCATTGGGAGATGAGCATCTTGTGGTCTTCCATCCTATTAGTCTTGACGAGTCCCAAGTCTCTGTGTTACTTGCCATCTACTTCAAAAAAGGAAGCTTTCTGATGTTCATGAGAGATGCAGTAATCTATGGGTATATTGATAAGCCATCAGGGGTTGATTTAATACTGTATGTTTGTTTAGCAGAAGAATAGTCTCAGGTTTCTCCCCCAAGACTTATGACCTGTCTAGTTAAAGGTTTGGAGACTCCAATAACTGTTCCAGATACAAATTTCACATTGTGGAACAAGTCTTAAATCCAACCAGAAAGTGGTTGGTTCTTCCACAATCTCCATTCCACTCTTGCACCGATAGGTGTGTCTCGCAGCACATACAAACTCCACAATGGCTGTGACAGCATATGCAAATGCAAATCCTGCCCAAGCTCAAGACAGACAAAATCTGAATACATAAAGAGGAGGTGGTTCCATGTTTGCTTGTCTCTTTGAACTCAGATGTTCAGTTGAGCTCCAGGTACCAGCTTGGCTTTGGCTGTGGCTCCTGCAGAGCAGCTAACCTACATTAGAGTGTTCAGTTCATGTCTGTGTGTGAATGTGGCTCTGAACATGCTGTGGTTTTTTTCACGATTCCCTGGGTTTTTTCCATACCTTGCTCCCATTCACCATCCATGTAGCCATGGAGACTGGTTTGTCCTCACAAAAAGCTTTAATTAGCTTAGCACAATATTTTAAAATTGTGTTCAGTCTTCAAATTTATCCATGAATCATGAATCAACAAATTGTTCATAGAGAATGAAGTCAAATCACCCATTACTGATGGTCTATTCTGACAAAAGAACTTTGGGTGCTTTCTGTGCTTTCTGTTGCCCCTAAGTGACTCGAAATTAGGCTATTACATTGTTACAAATAGAGTGTGCTTTAAAAACGGAGTCTAAAGTGTGTATATATATATATATATATATATATATATATATATATATATATATATTTTACTTCATAGTGTAGATTGTCTCAGAATGTAAAATTTATCTTTGACTAAATGGAAGTATGAAAGGAACAAAAAGCTCACAGATGCTTCCCAGATTCTTACTGGCTTATGATAGTTAATTAGCCTGTTCTTTATTTTTATTTATTTATTTTTTGGTTTGATTTTAAGCAAAGAATCACAGGTTGTAAATGCATTAAATTTTTTTTTTGTAAAATTAACTGGTGTCTCATAGCAACAGTTGAAAATTTGTGACTATTCATGAAAATTCTTTAAACATCAAGAGTAGATAATCAACAGGCACATCAGTAAGTTATTAAATATTAGGTTTTTTTAAAAATAACTTTAATGGGGTCTGGAGAGAAGGTGCAGGTTAAGAGCACTGCTTGTTCTTGCAGAGGACTCAGGTTCAATTCCCATGATGCCAGTCGTAATCAGACCTCTTCTCTGGCCTCTGTGGGTACTGGGAATGCACAAAAAATAGATCATATAACTTATAACTACAGTTCTAGGGACCCTCATAACTTTATAAATATTTCCTGGTCAAATCAGAACCTAGAGATTGTTTTTCTTATATTTTTATTGTATTTTATATTTGACATATATATTTATTCATGACTCATTTTTTTAAAAAAAATTCTATTCTTATGAGGCTTTTAGAAAATACTTGAGAATTCCAAGTAATTTGAAAAATTCTTCAGGTTTTTTTGATAGTGGGGTGGGGTATTTCACTCTGCATCCCAGACTGGTCTGGAACTCTTCTGCCTCATTGTCCCAAGTCCTGAGATGGCAGGTGTATTCCATCCTGCTTGACTGTCCTAAATGTTTTTCTTTTTCCTCCAGTGGCTTGCAAATGGAATACTCAGCCATTGGGTTTTGAAGGCTGAGTGTTTTTATTGATTGAAACTTCCTGTAAAGCCCTTCCATCATTCGATTATTCTAGGCTTAATAGTTAATAGACTTGACAGTTGGCTATAGCCCTTGCCATAGAAGAATTCTTAAAGACCCAATTTTGGTGGTTGATGCTTCTGTTTTGAACATATAGGTTGTTGCTAAGAGGAGGATTTCGAACTGCTCTCTGACATTAAAGCAAAATTGAAGAATTTTGCAAAATTCACCTTAAGTTTTTTGCATTTTTTTTCCAAAGCACTTTGAAGAAGACAGGATTCATCTAGCTAACACTGTGCTCCAACAGTGTGGCCTGCAGTCTGTTTGTGCTTTTGTCTTTTAGGTTGGCTTGATAATTCTATAAAAACTAAGATGTGTTGATGGGTTATTTAGCTTGTTTGCTGTAGAAATAGCAACTGTCATTTTTCCATTTCATGATAGAGAGAACATTTATTCTTAATTATTTGTAAATCGTTGAATGATAAATACTGAAGGCCAACATTTACAGTTAAGCAGAAGTTATAATGTGATCACTGTTAAAAATTAGACAGCTGTCCCATTTTGTAAAAACTGATGGGAACAAAATGTGTTTCTTCTTCCTCTTAGGTTACTGTTCCATCGAATACAATATCTGTGAACGGGAAGTCGGGACTCAGCCACCTGTCCTCTGACGCCCAGGACAGTGCTAACACTGCCCTGCTGTGACAGACTTCACAGACCAGCTTTCTGCCCGCAAAGGATACTGGCAAATATATATCCAGATGTACATTAATATACAAATCTGCTCAAGAATAAACATTTGTATTATGAATTTAATGCCAAAAGAAGAATGGCTAGAATTTATAATTTATAATAATTTTTGCCATTTTTTATGTCATAGCTAAATATTGCTGCTTTAGAAATGTTGAACAAGGTGTAAATGACTCGTTTTTTTCCAATGGTGAATAATCACTGCATATTGATTTTTTTTTTTACACTTCTGGAATACTGTATTGCCATGAAACGAAGATGTAAATTGAGATATATAGACACACTGTTGACACAGAAACAGGCAAGCACAAGCTAACATTCACTGTCTCGGTGTTAGGTTATAACTAGAAGCATAAATTATAATAGAGTCTTTTTGCTGAAAGACATGGAAAACTATTAAATCCAACAAATAATGTTCAGTTATCTTTATTGAAGAATCACTGTGAGATTTTTTTTTGTGTATTCTTTAATTACAAGTGTCAGATTTATAGGATACAACACGTATTTTCAAATAGAACACTTTAACCTCTAGAAGTTGCACAAGGAGACTTTGAGATATTTTCTGTATATAATTATGACATTGTTTCACAGATATTACTTATTTTCTAATGCCAGAAGTCTTAAAATATTCCTGTGAAAATGTTGATATATTGTGACAGTTATTTCACATTTGGTATACAGGGAGGATTAGGGTTTAGTTTGTGCCCACATTCAGAACTTTGAAGTTAGAAGTTCCGAAAATCCTGGTTTTGATTAAAATAAAATGCAAAATATAGTCATTTATATAGCTCAGATGCTAATTATCTAAATAATAATATATATTTTCTGGAAAGCCAGAATGGTTGAGGAAAACAGTACTTGAGGTATTACAGTGGTTCTTGGGTCTGGAACATGCTGGGGTCCTGAACTTCCTTAAGAATGTAATTGCCCTTTTATTCCAAAAACAGTTCAAACAGCCTGACAATATTTTGACTCTTTTTAAAGCTACTGGGTTTTCTGCCGTTTTGACAAAACGTGAATTTTTCCCCCATTTAATAAAAGCAAGTTATACATTTGAAGCCTGTTGTTTCCAGTGTTGTCTGTGTGAACTAGCACATTTGAATACTGATGAACATCTTCATATGCATGTTTTATGAGTGTGGGTGTTTTGCCTTCATGTATGCCTGTGCACCCTGTGTGCTTAGAGGCTGTGAAGGCCAAAATAAAGCATTGGATCCAGTGGAACTGGTGTTACAGACAGTAGTGAGCTGGAAGGTAGGTTTGGGGGATGGAATCTGAGTCATCTGAAAGCGCAACCATGGCTCTTAACTGCTGAACCATCTGCCCAGCCCTGATGAACATGTTTCTTCCAGCCACTAGCATGCATGCAATAGCAATGCTTTCCAGTTACCAGGATTCCCAGTGAATAGTTTAGCTCTCATACTCTGATGCCATCACATAAAATACTTCAGCCGGTTCCGGATGCTGCTATTCTCTTGTTTCAAAGTTGGAGTGAGAACCTTCTGCATGGATAAATTTTATCAGTCAGCAGAGAGGGGGATGGGAGCCCCACAAAGAGACCAACAAAACTAAAGAATCTGAGCCCAGTGGTGCAGAGACTGATGCACCAACAGAGGACCATGCATGGAGACCTAGACTCCCTGCTTGGATGTGGCTGTTGGGAGCTCAGTCTACATGTGGATCTCTGAGTGAGAGCACCAGGAGCTGCCTCTATCATAAACTCAGTTGACTACTCTTTGATCACTCATGCCTGGTTATGCAGCCTTGCCAGGCCACAGAGGAAGAGGGTTCTGGCATCCTGATGAGACTTAACAAGCTATAGGCAGATGGCAGTGATGAAGAACTCCTCCTTTCAGGGGACTAGGGAAGGGAGAGAGGTGGAAGAGAGAAAGAGGGTGGGTCTGAGGGTCAGTTGAGAGGGAGCTTCCATCAGGATATGTGATGAATAGATGGTGAAAATAATTAAAAAATAAAAATACCAAAAAACTGGCAAGTTTTTGAAAATCAGTGTTTCTACAATTACCAATTTGAGGGGAAATGTGATCTCTATTTCTAACGATATCATCAATGTGTTTGTGGCAGATTGAAGGCTTTTAAAACAATAGTTTAAAACTTAGGACATAATTTGTGCTTTCAGACTGTAGCATATGGAAACTTGTTTAAAACACAAGATACTGTTATTAAAAAAATATGATGAATCTCAACCCTTAATATGTGAAATGTATGTAAGCACCATACAGACAAATAAGACCATACAGGCAAATAAGACATGTGTAATAACATGTTTTTAAAATGTAAGGGATTAATTAGTTAACAGGATGAAATCTAAAAGGCTAGCCAATATGCAAAATACTTTTTCATCGCTAATCAGAAAAATAGTAGACAGTCAGCAGGAGATACATAGAAGGTGCAGAATTGCAATGTCTAAAATAACATGCATGAAAAGGAAGGAACAACAATGGGCAGTCTTACTGTTGCTAGGGAATGAACTAGCAAATCAGGTCCCTTCCTACATCAAGATGATGAACGTATAAAAGATGACGTTCCTTCACTCATCCTTATCATCTTCTATTCTGTGGTAAAGTACAGATACAGCAAAAATAATAATAATAATAATAATAACAAGTTTAAAAAGTTGTGGAAAAGTTGTGTTTCATGATATTAGTTACAGAAAATATAAAATGTAAATCATTTTACACATTCTGATTGAGCATACAGAAAAACAAAATCTACTCCCACACTTGCTGGTGGTTGGTTACCTATAGGAACCAGATAAGGAAAAGAAGTGAGAATTCAGTTATGTTGCTGTATTTTTATTTCAGAAACTTGTTTGAAAACAAAGGCTTCTTATACTTCAGTTCTAATCTACAGGAGTTGTTTTAGTATTTTATAGGTTACATGGGATGTAGGGAGATGTTTCTATCTATGAGTCCCTAAGACAGGAGTTTTGAAAAGTTGTCATGCCTATAGTGCTTCAGAATTTTGCCACCCTTTCTTCTAAACAGGGAAGTCTCTGGCAAGTTTTTCCTCTCATTTCCTTGAGGTAATAGTAAGAATATAAGACAGGAATGACTGACCCAAAACCAAGTAATTAATATTTATATTAAATATTATTTATATTATATTTATTTATTATAGTTTATATTTAATATTTAGTAGCATTTCACCTCAGTGGGTTTTTTTACATCAACATTATAAAATTATAACTGGTATATAATTTAGCATTTTAGCTCCCTCCCTGCGGGGAACCACTGTTAATATTTTAGGCAATCCATCGGATAGATCTCTAAGGTCTTGAGCAAGTGTTTGTCAAGCAGGGTCACAGTAAGGCTCTGAAACCAACGTTCTGGAAGAGGGAGGTTTTTTTTATACCTAAACGTTACGTCACCTTTGTTAGCTATCTTCCTTTTTCCTTGCTGTGTTATACCAAGCTGTCTGGAGTCAAGGAATTTAGATTCAAGTCTCAAGTCTTTCTACAATTCTTAAACCATGGGACCTTGGGAAAAAAAATTATCTCTTTCTGAAAAATGAATTGATATGCTTATGTCATAGGGGTAATTTTAAGGATTAAATGGATTTTATTTTTAAATTACTTTTATTAATTACAGTTTTTTTTTTTTACTTTGTATCCCCCCTGTACCTCCCTCCTTTTTAAATGTGTTTGATACATAGAATTTCCTTCTAAATGCCCTTATTTTTCACACTTAGTGAGCAAGAATTATACTTCTTTCTTCTTTGGGGGAATGGCCCTTCCTCACATTTCACCTACATGTGCTGCCAGGTCCGGCATTGGCAACAGAATCCACCCTGCATCTTAAACAGAGTCCTTGCAGTGAGACCAGTCGCTTTCCCAAGACCATAACCGATCTGAGAACTGCAGCTCAGTTGATACATGGTCTTAATGACAGTGCCTCATGCTTCTCATTGCCAGGAAGAAACCTTTTAACTACAAGGGAGTCATAACCATTATTCTTACTACTGTATTTTACAAAGGTAAAGGGGATTTGCAGTTAAATGTTACAGTGAAGATCCTGGCCTAATACATCTTTGAAATGAAACTTTGCATAGGGTTTTTATGTTATTCGATTTACTGCAGAGCAAAAATCTGTAGGATCGCCGTGGTACAAAGACCAACGAGCCAGACACGTCTCAGGATGTCACATTCCCAGCTGCCTCTTTCCGATGACTAAACGTCACAAATGGTGGTAAAGTAAAACGGTGCTCTTTTCCAAGCTCTCCAGAGTTGCAACCCACCGATGGACCTTCTAGCCTTTTATTCTTTTCCTCTCCAATTGATCACTTTCTTTGCAAGTTTCCAGCCCTAATGTTCTGGCTCCTCATGTCGATGGGTATACTTATCATAAGACAAAAATGCCACCGTATGTTCTCTCTCGGAACTTTTCTGACAGGTGTTTTGAGAAAAAAAAATTGTAGAAAATTCTGATATTTTTTGTACAGATTTTGGTGTTGATACATCATGGACTTTAAAAAAAATCAACTTAAAAGTTGAAAAGTACTGTTTTTCTTGGAAGAAGAAATATGCTACATTTCCAAAAAAAATTTTGCAAAACAAGACTCCCTAATTTATTATTTTTTTTCTTCTTTCATGGTGGTGGATAAGTGATAGCCCAGATTAGTTCCTTACCCTTCTTGCACATGCTTGTCCTGTGACTTGGCAGGCATTCTCTGTACAGAGGCCAGGCCCATTTTCCAGCCTGTCGAAGCATCTGGTTTTGTGCCTAATGAAAAGACAGAGGTGACATTGTACTGGTTCTAAGACATCTCAGAGGTTGTTATATTTTGGTTGCTGGCACGATGCTTCAGATACTGCTCTGGGAAAGAAATCTATGGGTGGTCCTGAGGGAACGATGAGGTGCAGGGAGAAATCAGAAGTGACTGCTAACTTTGGACCCCTGGCATGAGCCAGCTCAAATCACTGAGCTTGCGGAGCCTCACTTAGCATTACACTGAACTGTGTAGTTAGAGCTTTAGTTTGGTGGTAGGCGAAATGCACCATTTTAAACACGTGCTCAAATGACTTTAACTATAGTCATAGCTTCATTCAGTCTGCTCAAGTTCAAATACCGTTTTCCCCAAAGTCACTTGATCCGGCACAGCCCAGACACTATTTCCCAGCTCCCAATCAGTTAAAAGTAAATCTAACCTGGTAACACTAATATCTTTGTTGCCTTTCTCTATTCTGTCTGTCTGTCTTTAGACTTAAGAGTGTGAGAACCCTAGTTGCCACCTCCAGTCTCTTCAGACATATAAGTTGACAGATGATAAAATATGAGATGTCCAGGTAAGTTTACATATCTGCTAAATAGTCTTCAATGTGAGAGGGTCTGTGCTTACAATTATTATCTGAAATTCCATTTAAACTGATGATCTGATATTACAGTTTGCCAGGTTTGTTATTATTATTTCTTTGAACACCTGAAGAGTGAGAAAAAGCAAGTAAAGAAAAGGATACAATAGGTCTGGGCCCAGATGAAGTAAGCCATGAGCTTGCATTACAGATTAAAGGAGTCCAACCTTTTTAGCTTCCGGATTGCTCACCATTGGAATTTCTCCATCATGAATGGGGAAGAGTCCATTGATGAATCCACAGTGAAAGGACCACTTGAGTGACTCTGTTGGAAGCGGTAGATATTTACAAGCCAACAGCAAATCATAAATTTTGCTAATGTCCCCATTAGCTTCAGGACCGTTAGCAGGATAATTAAGCAATTATTAAATCCTCGGTAGTATGGAGCTATAACTGAGTAATTTTAAATTATTCATTATGTTTGATATAAAGTCAGCAGTGAGTTATTGAGCCACGCTTCTGAGCTGTAGCCATTTGTTTCTTCTTTGCCAACTATGAGAGTTACTCAGGGCAGTGTAAATAATGAAAGGTAAATAGTGATTTGGTAAAAGCACCTCATTGGTGAAGGCTGTTGTGGTTCAGTCCTAGAAACATGCCCTTTACAATCTGATGGAGCATAGTAATTTTTAAGAGGGAGGGGAGAAGTTAGGAAACAACATTTGTTGAGGTTTTGTGTGTGTGTGCACCATT